TAATTGTTGTTATTAGTAAACAATACATTGTGCAACCCTAGTGTGCATGTAAACGCACCCCCCCCCACCACCACCCCCCCGCTCTGTCTCTCTCTGATTTGTGGCCCTCTCTAATCGGCTTGTGTGCTGGCTGTGGGTCAGGTGATCAGATGTACTGTAGTTAGATTAGAGGGTCACAAGGAAGGCAAAGAGGATTAACCAAGGGAAGCCTCTGCTGTCCACTCCACCCCGCCGCAGTTTTACTACTCAAACAGCCCAGCCGTGCGTCTGGAGCAGTTATTTAACAGCGATGATCATCTGTGCCGCTATCTTCCACGTGTGTTTTTTTCCATTGAGAGATGTAAAATGCATCTCTGAGTTATTTTCCTGTGATAATGGTGTCCTTAAGCATGTGAGGTACATATGCAAGGCAGTACTGACACCTGGTGGTGGCTGAGGATGTTGATAATCAGTCCAGTTCTGTGATGAGACAGTACAAAATGGCGTCAGCAGCCTTGCCTGGTTTTACATGCAAAGGATAAAGACTGAATGACACACCTTGTTTTATTGGTCACGGAGTCAAAAGGGCAAAGTAGCTGAACTCTTTAAAGCAGAGCGCATTTTCCGCTCCTTAGCCGAGGTCTCCGCAGGACGCATATCACTGTAATGGGTTTGTTACGCTGGGTAAGAACGAGAGTGAGTGCAGGAGCAGGTCTGAAAACTCAGGTTTACAGCAGAAAAGAAGAGCAGGAACAACTAGTAATGAGAGAGAGAGAGGGAGAGGGAGAGGTTGAGAGAGAGATAATGGAGAGAGGGGATGGACAGAGAGAGATGAAGTGTGAGAGATTGAGAGAAAGAGAATAAAGAAGGAAGAGAGAGAGATAGATAGATAGAGACATAGAGAGACAGAGAGAGAGAGATAGATTAGTAGAGAAGGAGGAGTGACAGAGATTGGAGAGAGGAGACAGAGAAAGAGGTGATGTGAGAAAGATATTGAGAGAAGGAGAGAAAAAGATTAGAGAGTGAAGAAGGAAGAGAGGGTGAGAGATTGAGTGAGTGAGTGAGAGTAAGGGAGAAAGAGAGAATGAGGGAGAGAAAGACAGAAAAAGTGAGACAGTGAGAGAGATAATGGAGAGAGGGGATGGACAGAGAGAGATGAAGTGTGAGAGAGATTGAAAGAGGGAGAGAAAGAGATTGGAGAGAAAGAGGAGTGAAGAAGAGAGAGATAGAGAATGAGAGAGAGACATAGAGAGATAGAAAGATTGAGAGAGAGAGACAGATGCAGAGAGAGAGATAATTGAGAGAGGATGGACAGAGATAAAATGTAAGAGATTGAGTGAGGGAGACAGGAAAAAAGATGAAGAGAGAGAGAGGATAGAGAGAGAGATAGTGGATAGAGGAGATGGACAGAGAGAAAGTGTGAGAGAGACTGAGTGAGAGACAGAAAGAGATAAAAGTGAGAAAGATATTGAGAGACGGAGAAAGAGATTACAGAGTGAAGAAGAGGGAGAGATGGAAAGAGAGAGATGAATGTGATAGAGATTGAGTGAGAGAGACAGAGAAAGAGATGAAGTGAGATAGCTATTGAGAGAGGGAGAGAAAGAGATTGCAGAGTGAAGAAGGAAGAAAGGGAGAGTGATTGAGTGAGAGAAAGGGAGAAAGAGAAATGAGAGAGAGAGAGAGAGAGAGAGAGAGAGAGAATGGGTGGAGGTCTGTGTGTGTGGTAGAATACAGCAGAAGCAGTTTGGGGATGAGTCACGCTGCTGCTGCCCCCCCAGATTTCTAAAGTTTCACTGTCATTCTGCTTCAGTATGTAAATGTGGTTATATAATTACATTACTAATTACACAGGCTGAGTCTCGGATAGCTCCCTACTCTTACTGCACTACTTGACTGTAGTTAAATGTACTATATAGAGAACAAAGAACCATAGTTCTGTAATTATTTACATTTACATAATCTTAGTCAACACGTTTGAGTCTGCACTTCTAAAAATGACCAAATTGTGAAAAAAAAACAGTTTTTCTTTTTGTAAAACAAGACTGTACCCTCATTGGTCAGTTTATCAAATTCAAACCATAATAAAATATCTCCTCTTCTACTTTTTACTTTTCCTATTGTGCTGCGAGTGACAAATAATTGTCAAATCACAATGCATTTACATTTTTTACAATGTGTAACAAATACTAATAATCAAATAACTGTAAGGATTAAATAGCTGTTCTCTATGCAACATTTAAGCGCCTAGATTTCTAGGCTCGGTTATTGTTATATACAACATTTTCATTGAATTATTGACTTTAGGTGTCTCCAGATGAACAGTAGCCTATAAACAGTGCGCTGCCTCTATATTCTTCATCCCTGATTCAGCATGCATGCTCTTAATTTTAAGCATTTCTTCCAAAAATTATGGAGAAGGACTCCAGTCTCCTTTAAGGCTGCCTGTATGAAGTATAGAGGGGGAGATTTAGGAGGAGTGAGCGTGAAATGTGGTGTGGAGCACTCTCTCTGTAGGCTTTCCTGGCCTGTGGATTCTCCATTACTTCCAGATAGTGAGGTCAGGACATCTATGCAGAGAATGCAGCCCAGAACACATGGCTGGACGCATCCACACCCTTCTTTTACATCTCCTAGACACAGCTCCCTTAACGATTCTTTAGCTTCGCCGGCTTTACACCAGTGCACTGTGAATTTGAGGTATTTTAGTGCCTGTGATTCTTATTAAGTCTTCAAAAAAAGTATGAAAGTTTAGAATCACCATTTAAAAGTTTGCAAGTACTGTTCTCCTGAATATAAAGGCAGTTAATAGGAAGCTGTGTAAAAAATAAAGAAGTGGTAAATAAACAGTGATAAAGCTGTAGATGATTTTTAATTGAGAAAGCTGTATATTGAGAATTAAGGCAGTAAAATTATCAAGAAACTACTATAAATAGCTAATTACAGTGTATAATTAATCATTTAATAAGTTCTTAATATTCCCAAAAACTTTTTATTAAATATTATTTAATACAGAACGCAATTTAAAGTCATTTTCATTATTTTCCTAGGGTTCCTTATGTTTTAGGTTTGAAATTTCTTTTTTCCCCCTTTCTTTTTATCAGTGTTTTTATCTGTTTCTTCTCTTATGCTGTCTTTCATTTGCCTTCCTCTTTGGAAAGTACTTTAAGCTGCATTTTATTGATTTACACCATATAAATAGTTATATCGAGGTACTATAAATGCATCTATATAAAAAGGTATTATAAATAACTTCTGCTGTTCAGTTTATAGTATTGTTGAATAAAATAACAGCAATAATTAAAGAGCCCGTATCATTGAAAACCATATTTTCCTCACTTTGCAAATATTAATAAACTTTGAAAATGTACTGTTATATACAGAATGATATAACTAATGTCACAATTTGTGACAACTGATGTCACAAAAAACAGTACATTTTCATATGTCCTCTTATTCAGGCTACAGCAGCACTACAGCATTCATGCTGAAGTTATAAGGAGTGTGTCAGCTGGGCTGCTTTCTGAATGGGGCCGTATACAGAGCGGCCAGTCAGACCAAGGCTCATCCTCATAAATCATTTTTAAGGTCACAGCAACAAACACAGCCAGTTTATTTCCAAAGGATGAAGAGAGGTTGGAAAATGGCCATGTAAAAAATGAATTATGACTGTTTTTGGCACATTGAACGACAGAGAGTTATAAGTGGGGGAAAATGTTACAAAAGGAAAAAAAAAAAGTACAAGAAAAATGTTAGATATGGGCTCAGCACCAAAAACAGTTATTCAAAATAAGCTGTTTCTGCTGCTTAGTTTTCCTCTATGGACAGTATGAACTGTGAACATTATGCTTAGACGTAAACATTGTTTACACACTACATCAAAAAGGTTTATTTACAAAATAAACGTTTGTTCATAGTATTGGCCCTTTAAAGTAAGCAACAGCCTTAGTCTGTCAACATGTTATTCAAAGTTCAATAAAACATACATTGTAATGGATCCAGGTTAACTTAAAACTTCAAATGAATCCTTTTTTACAGTATGTTGCAAAAAATATCTAGCTGTCCGTCACTTTACACTTTACAAAGGTACAAAAAGTGTGAGTTGTTTGTCCAGTTAAGACGTCTGAGGGAAACAGAATGTCTCCTTTGTGTTCATATGTGTTTAAAGTACAAGCTTTTCTGCTGTTTGGGTTTCAGGTTTAGCTAAATATTTCTCCCACTCAGGAATTCTTTTGCTTTGACAGATGTCTTTTATTCGATGCTGTGCAGGTGCAGTGCTTTTGGAACACAACACTGTGTATCAGTGCCTAAACAGAACACAATTTAAGGATGACCGAGATATACGGACCACCATAAAACTGTTTCTTAGCTATGTTGGGAAAGAGATGCTAATCTTCTAAATGTGGGGGGGGACGTTAGGAGGGTCTGTGACAGTTATTGTCATTGCCCACCCCTAATTCTTTGGTGATATGAAGCTGAAGTCAACTATTTGCCAGCTTCTTCTTCGAATTCTCCTGTTCCACCTTAAATAGTGCAGCAGTTACATTCTGGCGCTTCAGGTATTAGTACTGCTGGACTATTTAAGGTGGAACGGGAAATTTATCGAGCTAGTTACCAAGACATGAGCTTACTATAAGCGATGCTTGTTATAAAGGAAAGAACCATAATACACTGAAACGACCAAAAAAAGGCAATACAATGGTTATCATAAACTTTTAACAGAGAAATTACTCACATTTGTGGGTTTCTTTGGCCTCTAGTGCAGCCATCTTTCATGTTTTTGTTTTTTTCTCATAACAATCCGTTTGAAGTGTGTCTCTGAAAAACCATGTAGCCCTAACACTTCGCCCTACCCCTCTATCGCAACAAAAATCAGGACACCCTACACCCAGATGTGAACGCGCAAAATGGAGGGCTGTGGGTTAAGTGGTAGGGACGAGGGGTGAAATGGGATTGGGCCAAAGTGTCTTGGATTATGTTGTTGTATTTTGGATAATCATTTGCTTTGTTTCTGACTTTTCTAGACTCGTCAAACTACATCCGTCAGCTGGAGACAAAAGTCCGGATATTAGAGGACGACAACAAGCAGGTGTTATCCCAGGTAAGAGACACCCTCATAAGCTTTCTTAATAAAGATCGTTCAGTTCATTAAAGCACCTCACTCTCAGAAATAAAGGGGCAGTACCCCTCTTGTCACTGGGGTGGTTCCCTCAAGGGTACATCTCGGTACCTTTAGTCAGGGAACATAACTGAACCATAATCCACTGAAATGATATTTTCTAAGCTGTACTGACTCCACACACCCCGTCTCGTCTCCAGGACTTTATTTTATTGTTCTGTTTTAAAACATTCAGTTATGACAAGGTACAAATATGAACTTTTCACCTGGAAAAAACTATTTAAGGTTCACAATCAGACCTTAAAACCACTGTTGTACCTTTGAGGGAACATTTACATTGTTTGTACCTTGATGAACAAAAAATGTACCTGAACAGAAGACACCATGAATCACTACAATCATGTGGACCGTCCTCATGCTGATTGCTAGATTATTGAACGTTAATGTTAATAAACCAGCAAATCTTCAATTCAATTAATATGTATTGTCCTTATGCACAGTACAGTTTAGGGCTGTATCGAGTGTGTCAGTAATTAAGTGATGCACTATGATGGTTTTAAAAAGGCCAAACAATTAAAATGGGCTGTTCACTGGAGACAGTTTACTGAAGAAAAGATAACGTAAGAATTCTTTCAAAAGATTATACAAAAATGTAAACACAATGTTGTGAGGAGCAGGTAACCAAAATAATTTTTATTGCTTTAAATATCCTCCTTTTTAGGAGCTCGTGATCCTTTTTCCATCAGCGACCTTGTTTGACCAAACCGTTTGTTCAATAAAGTCAAAGGTGGAATGTCCTTTTTACAAGACTGTTGAAAAGGGGTTCATGTTAATACAAGACAATGTTCAGAAATGTGATCAGTCATGTTCTCTTGTCAGGTTGAATGGTAGTATTTTAAACTGGATATTAAATGCTACACATGCTTTGATGTGCCAGTATAACACATAATGTATTACAGCACTGCCTCCCTACATGGTAATATAATGCAATACGATGGTTCTGAGAAAAGGAGTTACAGGAACGAATTTGCCAAAAAACACTCACATGCAGTCAAATTCAACCTGTTTTGTGTGCTTAGTAAAATATATTCATATAAACTTTGGTAAAATACATGTGGGTAGAATGGAAATAACACATTTTGCACAGTTTGTAACTTATTTATCAATGTGACGAAAGCAGCTTCCTTTCCACAAGAGCAGCGATTTAAAGCATTATTCATCCTTTTATTTTTATACAAAGAAGGGAACACCAGCTGAGAGCTGGAGCGGTTGAGTCACGTCTGCTCGACAGAACTTTCATCAGTTCTAGGAAACGGTCAGGCGTTTTCCTGGAGATGGATAGCACAGTGTGTGACTAAGACCAAATGAAGAGCAGCCAATAATAATAGGAAGTTAAGAATGAGATCGCAAAGCTCAGGTGGGGATGTGGCTGTCTTCCCGTTTACAGTACAGAGACACCAGCTGGATAACAAACAAAGGTACTTGCATGTAATAATGTCCTCTGTGCCTTATATGTTGGGACACAATACAACATAGCATACTGTGTCGTTGTATCGTGTCTAGCACATTAGCTTTAAAGTATTAGCCAGAGCATTAGATCAGGCAAAATCACTACATAACTGCTGTTTCAAATATTGTACTTTTAAGTCGAGTGCTCTATTAAATTATTATATAGAAATATTAACATAAGGCTCGTCTTCAGCCACTCCTTATTTTTGCTGTACTGAAAAAGGTATCAAATCGAGGCAGCGCTGTATCATAATGAACTGAATAATGACTTCTGTGATTTGTTACACTTGTTATACTTATGCTATGTTTAATTCTCCGTCTTTCTTTCTAATCAGGTATCAGGTCTGGCTTTTGTTTCTCGCAGTGTCTGAGCGCAAGAGTAGTTTGGACTCTAAACTGTTCATACTAGCTAGGATACAGTCTCTGAGTGGACAACAAAGCACTTTTCTAAGTTGCTGTGGATAAGAGCTTTTGTTAATGTTAACCGCTATAGATGTAAATATAAATATCTATATGCATTAAGTGTTTTCTATTATTAATTATTAACTATTTTGTTAGTCCGAAGTTCTATTTTTGGTGGTTTTCTGGATATTCTTGGCCTGAAAATGTACAAAAACAAACACTAACTATACATGCACATGTGCACACATAAACAATCTCTTTTTTTAGAAAAAGGACATATCCTCACGTAAGCTCCAGTAATGCTTCCGAGTGGAAACCTATGAGCTGTTGTTAGTTGGTCATAGACTTCTGTGATTTGTTACGCCCCTAATACAAATGTAAATACTAGGGATGAGCATTCTGACTAATTTTGATATCCGAGTCCCCCTAAGGACGCGATATCAGGTTAACTGTGGAGAGAGAGCCGAGGGAAAATGGTAGGTAACATAATGGAGGCTGCGTCGGATGAGCTAATGAGCTAAAACTACAGCTAACCAGTAACACTGATTGCTGCTGGTGCCAACATGTTAGTCTGAGAAATGTATTTTAACTGTTTCTGTACCTGATAACATACAAATATGAGCAAAACTTACCCCTTTACAGTTCTGTCAAAACATAAAATCTGCATTTCGCTGAATTGTTAGACTGTATATTTTTTCATCTTCCCACAATGAAATGCTGTAAATATTGTCTTACAAATATTGTTTTACATCTTCCGTTCCTTTGTTTACACATGCTTTGATGTGCCAGTATAACGCATACTGTATTACAGCACTGCCTCCCCATATGGTCATATAATGCAATACAATGGTTCTGAGAAAAGGAGTTATAGGAACGAATTTGCCAAAAACACTCGCATGCAGTCAAATTCGACCTGTTTTGTGTGCTTAGTAAAATATATTCATATAAACTTTGGTAAAATATATACGAGTAGAATGGAAATAACATTTATCCTTTTATTTTTATACAAAGAGGAGAACACCAGCTGAGAGCTGGAGCGGTTGAGTCATTGTTTTACATCTTCTGTTCCTTTGTTTATTTAATTAACTGTGTTTTTAATTTATTTTATCCTTGATCTTTGATCCTTTGATCTGCTATTTATCAAATTATTAGATTGTTGCAATTTTAATGGTTTTATTAATTTTTTTTTGTACTCTTAAATGTTCTATTATGATTATTATTACTTTTTTTTAGCATTTGATATGTTTTTACAATCCAATTTTTTAAATCCCTGCTCTCTGTATTGGCTTGGCTACATTGGAAATGAGGGTCTCCCTCAATGTGCTCTGAGTTTAAATATGGGTTAATTTATTGATTGAAATACCCGAATAGTGATTTTCAGTATTTGAATATTGGCACCTCAAGCATTTGACTGAATACTCAAGTACTCGTGCACATCTTTAGTAAATAACACAGTCTTCAAATGCGAACTGAAGGACCATCTTTTGGTAAAGCACTTAAGTGAGTACGAATCTAAGTACTTAGTGAAATGCACTGTATTGCACTTATGCTATGTTTAATTCTGTATCAGGTCTGGCTTTCGTTTCTCGCAGTGTCTGAGCTCAAGAGTAGTTTGAACTGTTCGTACTAGCTAGGATACTTTCTCTGAGTGGACAACAAAGCACTTTTCTAAGTTGCTGTGGATAAGAGCTTTTTAATGTTAACCGCTGAAGATGTAAATATAAATATCTATATGCAGTAAGTGTTTTCTATTATTAATTATTAACTATTTTGTTAGTCCGAAGTTCTATTTTTGGTGGTTTTCTGGATATTCTTGGCCTGAAAATGTACAAAAACAAACACCAACTATACATGCACATGTGCACACATAAACAATCTCTTTTTTTAGAAAAAGGACATATCCTCACGTAAGCTCCAGTAATCCTTCCGAGTGGAAACCTATGAGCTGTTGGCACACAAGCAGCAATCAGCACACAAAGTGCAGGTCTGGGGAAAAGAAAGACCAGGACAGGATTATCATAAACACACATTATTACTGCCACGAGCCATTCCGTAAAGGAGAAGGCCTGCGTGTCCGGATCATCCAGATCCCAGACTGAGAGAATTCCATTAGATAGATAACATCAAGTGCGGAATTGACTCTAGATCAGAGATGAAGCTTGTACGCAGATCCTCAGGACACGGTCCACACCCAAACAGATTAGCAGCGTGCCAAGTTCTTCGGCCAGGTGCAGCCGGACTACATCTCAGAGTTTCAGACAGTATTTATGAAGTGTGACGGGGAAACGTTCCTCATGTTTTTTCCTGCTTTTATTATGTTCTAATTTTTTTCAAGCTCTATTTATTTATTTGTTTACAGTCATATCATATATGTAATGAGACCTAAATTGTGTCCTGAGCAACAGTTATTTATATTTTATATTTTATGTTTTATGTGCCATATTTAGGTGTGTTCTTTGCAGTGGATGTGTTAACATTTACAAATCAACAAAATGTAATTTGTCCGGGGTGCCCAAAGTTTTGCATAGGGCTGTATATGGAACACTCTACCAAATTAGTTTAAACTGCGGTCCCACAAAAATAAATAAATAAATAAATAAATAAATAAATAAAAAACAATTAAGTATTCAGACCAACTTTGTTGCAATGACTGTTATAATCTATTTAAACTCAAGGCATTAATAAAGATAGTAATAAGCTAAATATATACCAAATCTTCATTTATAGGGCACCTCCTATTGGGAGGTGTCTGTCCCAAACCCTAACCCCTAAATTTACAGTGAAAATATGACTTCCATTCTTTCTAACTTTGTTAAAAAAATACTGTCCCACCTTTTCATGTGACTACCAAAAAATAGTTTTGTATGTGGGTGGAGCCTTATTGAAGCCACACCCCTGCATTTTAGAGGAGGAAGTGAGACTGCATCCCTGTCCCACATGGTGTGCAGTTTGATCCCATTGATTTGAAGCATCTATAAGTCTGAAAATCAGAATCGAGTATTAAGAATTGTCACACATTTTCTGCAGTTAAGTATCTGTTTTTGTGTTTAAATTAAAAAAATAAGGATTTTATGTGTGTAAAACTGTTCAAAGCTGTGTTTGCTAATTATGTACTAAACGTTTTTGAGTTTTGCTCAGAATCAGCTAAAATTTGCTAAAGTTTCGGTTCTGTTGTGATAGTTTTGTTGGTGACAAAATGGGATGTTTAATCATTTACATTTACACAAAAACGTAGTTAATGTATAGGATCACTCAAGGCAGAAAGAGTAGTCTGAAGTTTTTCAGATAAAAGTTCACAATGTGTTTTCATCTCTGGCTTTGAACCAATTTCAGTACATGATCCATATATATTAGTTTTAGTATTAAATTTTGAAGTGGTTAAATCTCTCCCTCTGGGTGTGGCACACTGGGGTTCAGCCTATCAGGACCTTTTTAGACACAGCTCCTAATGCTACATTCCCACCAATCTAATTACATCGCTTCCTTAAACTCATATCGTGATTGTGATAAAAATATAAATTAATCGTACAGCCCTACACTCGCAGTACCCTTCTTGTCACTGTGGTGGGACCCTCAAGGGCACATTTCAGTACCTTTTAGTCAGGGAACATAACTGAACCATAATCCACTGAAATGATATTCTCTAAGCTGTACTGACTCCACACACCCCGTCTCGTCTCCAGGCTTTTATTTTACTGTTCTGTTTTAAAACATTCAGTTATGAAAAGGTACAAATACAAACTTTTCACCTGGAAAAACCTATTTAAGGTACAAAACTGGACCTTAAAACCACTGTTGTACCTTTGAGGTAACATTTACACTGTTTGTACCTCGATGAACAAAGAACCTTTATTTCTAACAGTGTAGCTGAAGCTAAAAGAATGAGACTTTCAAACTGTAATAATCTTTTCCACATGAAATTGAATTTATTTTCTCTGGACAGAACAATAGAACAGTCAGAAGACTTTTACACTATTTGGAAAGACTTGTGGTCTCTTTTCTTTTGTTTGGAAGCTTGTCTGGGTCAGTGCTGGAGTCCCAGAGCTGATGGTCAGATTTCTGCTGCAGCTGCGTCTAAACACTGGGGATGTGTTTCCTCTGTGTTAGTCCCTCTGCAGCACTCCAGTCCAGCCTGTCTTCCAGAAAGCTGGATTAAGCAAGTGTCTGGAAGCAGACTGAGCTCGGACACGCAGCGCCCTTCTGGCACGCGCTCAGTCATAACAACCACAATTCATCAAAAATAATTCAGATTGCTGATGGAGGAGACTGTGTTCTTAATGGCTGCTGCCTGAAGAGACCTGGAGGGCAGTTTGTTGACTCTTCCTCCTCTAATCAAATATATAATACAGTGATGAGTCAGACGAGCTGTGACCCTCCTTCATGACAGAAGAACTCGTCCAGCTCGTTGTTCAGTGACCGATTCCTAGGCGTGAAGTGTAGACCAGAAAAAAAATTGACTGATGAAATTATTATCCCCAACAACTGTAATCAAGCAGTTTGAAACCAAAAGTCTGCAAAATATCAGCCATACATTACACGCTGGTAGTCTTTTGGAGGACACTGCACATTTAGCATGGTCAGTATGGATGAAGTCACTCTAGATTTGTTGACATTTGTGAAAATGCCTGGGGGAAAATGCATTGCCATTTTAATAGCATTACGCTGAGGGGTTTGCCTGGTTTCAGAGCAGGGGATGCTGTTCCAGCTCATAATCAGATGTGTTTTTCTCTCTGTTACTGTTCACTGTGCTGTTAATTGATGTTTCAGCCACACAGAGTGTTAAAGGAAATGGATGGTATCATTTGCAGATTAGCACTCAGTCTCTGTATTACAGAATGGCTCCAATTTCTACATTTTTCTCTTGTTGTTTATTTTGTTTTTCTCCTTATAATGTTTGTGCACCAAAAGCTGTCACAGTTCATTCCGAGATGACCATTCTTTACCCCTTTAGAATTAAATGGACTGTTTTTATTACTTTAAAAAGGCTGGGAAACATACAGAACAGACCCTTAGGTTTGGGGTAAATTTCAGCTGCTCCTTTCGGATGGCAGTAATAATCCATTTGCTTCCCGACAGCCAGGAACAGCACAACGTTTAATCAGTTTCCCTCATCTTCCCCTCCAGTAACTCTGCTACAGACTGTCTGCAGGAACACCAATCTGCATCACTTCACTGTGAATGAGTGGGGCTAATCGGATATAGGCTGAATGGGCGGTGCTAAGCAAATATGCAATATGTCCATATATGTCTTTGCATTATGTCCATATAAGGACTGAGTATACTAAGGCGTAAATGGTACATATTGAATCTTTTACGATGTTTACATCCAGTCTAGAAAAGTCTTTCGAAAAAACAAGACAAATTTGCTTTTCAGTGATACGGCCCCTCTAGCAGCTCTCCACTGTTTTCCTCTAATGCACATCCAGCAACAGGGGGTTCTTTTTTGTTCTCCTGTTCACTTTTCAGCAATAATCCACCTTGATATAAATGTACTCGTGTTTTCTTCGTCTGCAGGGAAGCATTGGGGATCTGAAGACGCTGAGGAAAGGATTATCTCTGTATCACTCCGAGTCCCAGCTCTCCTCTCTGTCGAAGTACCAGGACACCTTGCAAAATGTATGTATGTGCTACATGTGATGCTGTCTCACCCACCATCCCTGACCTGACCTCTTAATCTACCACAGCATTAAACTTCAATTGCTGTCAAGTCTTAAACGATTTATCAGTTTGACACATTTGAAACAGTGTTTCACTGGGGGAAACCAGGAATTTGTAACAAGTTAAATGTTTTAGTGATAATAATAATAATAATAATAATAATATCTATTTCCAAATTAAAAACACCATATACAAGCTCAAGACCACCATACACATACATACATACATACATACATACATCATCTAAACCGCTTATCCTTCTGGGTCGCGGTGGGGTGCTGGAGCCTATCCCAGCTGTCATTGGGCGGAAGGCAGGATACACCCTGGACAGGTCGCCAGTCCATCGCAGGGCAACCACCATACACAGAATATGAAATCAAAATATCAAAATACATAAGACAAATAAAACTTTTGACAGTATATTGCTATTAAGATAATTCATCCTGATCAATCACTTTATTTTGTGTAGTTAATCAAGCATTTGCCTTATTTGCTCATAAGACATTTACGCACTGGCACATTTACTTAGTGTTGATTAAAGCTTTGGGCTACACTGCATAACTTTTAAGGTCTTAACAGATTATAAAAAGCCTGGGCATCTCACACTATACGACTGTGTTTTGCAGATTTTTTTGGGCGACTGAAATATTGGGGATCACACACTACACAACTTTTAAGCTGTTGCTGAACTGAACGGACCTCACTGAACTCGCGCAAACTTGCGCAAACTCTTGCGTTCTCCCGTTACTAGGAGACCCAAATAAACACACATGAAGCTGCTGCTGATGTTTTCTCTGCTGTTTGCACTGACACAGTAAAGAAGCAGCAGGTAAACATGTTTAAGTGAGAGTCATGGATTTAAAAATGTGATCAGTGTGGAGTTTTAAACACGCATAAACTCAGTTGTGCTCAGCTCATTAAAAAGCTTTCGCTCCACACGTGAGAGACTTTTCTTTGTTTGCTTGCTGTATTTTCTTTTCTCGTGCTCTCGTTTTCATTGGTTGTTGCAGGAGTCATTCAGATTGAGTCATTGATCAGTTTACACTAGATTACACTCAGAGTCATATTTGATAAACTCTGACTGGTCTGAAATGTGATCAGGAGGCCAAAAATCTGAGTCTGCACCTTTCAAACACCACTTGATTTCTCTCTCCAACTGTCGACTCCGACTGACCCAAAAATCTGCAGACTAGAGCCGACCAGCACAGATTTAGCCAGACTGAGAACCGGGGCTAAAATCGGAGGAAAAGTCGTGTAGCGCAACCCCGGCTTAATGTGCATTGTCTCTGATAAATAGATAAATAAGCTCCTTTTGTATTGATTTGTATTGTAGCCTCTCACTCTCATTCATACAGCTTGTGGATTCTTGTTACAGTGCAGGATCTCCAGGAGAACTGGAGCTCCACTTTGCTGTTGCTTTTGTTAGTTTGATGCTTGTTGATTTATTCATGGATCTCCTGCGGGTGCGGTCTGTGCAGTCTGCTGAAGGTACCACTTTAAAAGCTGTATTTGAACGAAAACGGCTTCAGCCTGCACTACTACAGATGGAGTAAGTCAAACTAAAAAAAAACAGGAAAATGCAATAAATGAGTAATGTTAATCATTAATCACTGGTGACACACACATATATATATATATATATATATATATATATGCCCTGCGATGGACTGGCGACCTGTCCAGGGTGTATCCTGCCTTCCGCCCAATGACAGCTGGGATAGGCTCCAGCACCCCACCGCGACCCAGAAGGATAAGTGGTTTAGATGATGTATGTATGTATGTATGTATGTGTGTATATATATATATATATATATATATATATATATATATATATATATGAAACAGAGAAAAAAGAATTAAGCAGTAAAGTATCCAGCTTTTTCTCCAAAAAAAACTTTAGTGATGGTTTGTTCTGGAAGATCTCTCACATCAGCCACCAGAGCTGTTTATTTAAAATGTCTCTGAAAAAAAAGGGAGAAAATACAGAGGAGAGCCGTGTGGCTTTTGAGATGATTTCCTGCATGCTTGTAGGGGGTTGTGTTGCGCTGTGATCCCTGCAGGAGACATACTGTCTCACTATAGTGCTTAAAGGATTCCTGCTAACCTAGAAATGACCTGAGAAAAAACGTTTCTCAAATTAATTCAGACCGTGAAAGTCTGTCGTCCAACATATTTCAAAGTTCATGTGAATACTTTTATATTCACAGCAGCAGGTTTTCATTTCTCGCCTTGCTTTACCTCAGAGGCAAGCTGGTTTAAAGGGCTCATACTGAATGCTTTTGAAGTCACGCTCTTTTATTGTAGCATGAATTCCGCTTCTTCAAACTCAGCGATTTTGACAGTCCAAACCCAACACATACTTGCTGGTCCTCTGGAAGTGGGAGACAATAACCTGAACCACTGTGTAAACATCTCTCAGACTTCAGCAATAACACAGGGCAATAAAATAGGCCTGTATGACTGGGCTTCATATGAGACTTTGCATTGCTCTGTGTTTATTTAGCTTCTCGTGCTTAGCTGAGCCAGCGTAGCAGCCCCTCTCTGCCCGGTTCTCACTGCTTACCGCCTGCATCTGCTGCTCCACTGCTGGATGTATCAATGAAAGGATGCATTAAAGGAATACTTCAGTGCTTTTTATCCTAATATTTGATTAACACTGACAATAAATTTGACTCTTTTTGTTGTACTTCGAAAAGAACGGAAAACTAAACATGCTTATGATAGAAGCCAGTGGGCAGTTGTTGAATTTCCTCACTAAAAGTCATTAAAGATGTGAAACACAATTTTTGTGTAACACTTACATTTATGCTGGCATATATGCTAGAAACTTTTATCCAGAGCTCCTTAAAAAAGAGCTTAACTGTCAATTCAGGGACATTTTTTAGGTAGCGCACATAGGGTTAGGGTACAATTAGTCCAGTAGAGTCCAGACTTGAGCTAAGACATGGCCAGAAATAAGAGTCAGTGCTGATACCTTTAAAGAAAGATACAAAATACAGAATTAAGACACAGTACAAATGCAATTCAAGACATTTCCATAAATGCTAGATTAGTGTTCATTTAAATGCTACACTTAGGTGTTATTCTCTCTTTCCATTGGTGGCCGGTGGCTATTAAGCACTATAGTAATGACAAAATATGTGAAGTGTGTGGGAAGTCATTAGACCCATCAAATATATATAGAGAAAAATGTTATAAATGTGTTACGATCATGAAATAAATTAAGTTTTGATGTCTTTTCCCAATTTTATTCATAAGCAGTGCTTAATTGCTTAAATGAAAGAGCTGCCCTGGGACTGAAATGGGACTTAAATTCTGCCCTCTGGAAATCTGTTATAATCTGTGCAGATGGAGGCTTCACAAGTGCCACCTGATCACCATGGATACCACACAACCTTAGGAAAAGTGAAAGTAACCAGATTTGCTCTTTAACTGTGTCACTGTATTTGGAATTTGGATAAAACTTCATTTGGTAAGACTTTCTCTCTCTCTGTCTCATCCTAACGCCCATATTGGAGCTTTAATCAGGCCTGAAATTTTTATTCGAACCCGTATACAAGTTGAGAAACATTCTGTCCGAGCTTGACTTGAACTGACACACACTATCGTGTTTAGAATCCACACCCAACCTGAGCCACATCATCATGTTTTAAGGCCCAAAGCTGACCCAAGTATAGCAAAATGCTGTCTGGAACTGACCAGAACCATCACCCAAAGTGCACAGGATAGCACTGGTTACCATGTAGTGACAATAAGCTGTCATTAGATCACAGAACAATGAAATAAAATAATAATAGAGAATAATACACTATAATCTTTTGATCCTGCTTTAAGAAATGTTTTCGTCAGATAATGCTTTTGAACAGCATCTCAAACAGTTTCAGGCCTGGATAGACTTTCCATACTGCACTGTTGTCACGCTGTGTGGTGCTAATATGGCGAGATGTACTGTTTAATACTAAAACTGAATTTCTGCACATAGAACATGTTCAGTATGTATATAACATAAAATATCATTGGCCTAACAAATTAGAAGTCCTTTTTGCGCTTAACTAAACTGCACTTCCCAAACTGATTCACTGTTTATGTCCCGTTTTCTCGTGAAAGGGGGTGATACCAGTGTGCCAAATTACATAAGTGAAAGTAGTGAAGTGTAGAGCAAGGAGAGAAACTAAAGCATGGAGAAATGCAGGGTGAAATCTGTGAGGCAGGCTGTGAGAAACCCAGCAAGAAATCTGAACCCGAGACATATTTGTGAAATGACGTCCGAAAAAGTCGAAACCCGACTGCTCACGTATGGAATAGTTATCGTTTTAAAATAGCATTACATTTATATACATAATTCAGAAAGTGCCCGTTGGCCCCAGTGTGTTCTGAGCCATAGAAACGTATCAAAATGATGATGTACATGGTATTCAGTGCTGTGATACAGATGCAGCAGGTAGAGATTAAATTGAAAAACGCCGAGCGTTCCTTTAAGTGAGCACGTCTGCATTTAGAGAATGTTCTTCTTCCTCTCTTCTTCATCACCGCCCACTTAATTTCTGTCTCTTTCTCTCTCTTTCTCTCTCGCTGTTTTGCTCTCGCACTCCCTGAGGTAGCGATCTTTCTCCTCCGCCTCCTCTCCTCAGAAAAGGTCATGAGCAGCCCTGAGGATGGCGAAGCCCCCGCTTTAGCTAATCACAGTGCTCATGGGCCGTGACAGACTAAAACTGCATGCTCGGCCCACTTTCTGTATGCCGGGCAGCTTCCACAGGAAGGAGAAATCAATTAGAGTGTGCCGCGGGTTTCATCCAGAGAGACGACAGGGCTTATTTTAAACTCCTGTTTCTTTTTTTTGTTTTTTTGTCTTTTTTTCCGAGAATGTGCTGTGCAGAGAGACAGAAGAGACCCTGTCTCTGTGCTCAGTGCTTCATTAGCATGGCTTTGAACTTTCACTTCAAACACAGTGGGATGAT